GAATACACAGTTTAGCAGAATTGGCAGGAATCGAACAAATTTACTTTCAACCAAAAGACAAATACTAACTTCACAGTGATAAAGAACACACAGTTTAGCAGAATTGGCAGCAACCGAATAAATTTACTAAGCAATCTAAGTGAAATGGTTAATCTAAGTGAAATTACGAGTAAATTTATCATCAAGTTAAATATGGAAAATCTTAAACTTACCTCGTTGCGTAGAGTATGAACCTCATTCTGCAACGATACTACCATCTCACGTAGAGCGGCAACCTCACCACGTAAAGTAGACACCTCCACACGCCATGCACCATCGTTATCGCGTAGAGTACCGATCTCCTCACGCAAGGCATTGACCTCATCACGTAACTCCCTTGACTCATCCCGTGGAGGTGGAGAACAGGGAGATAGAAGTCGTGGCATCTTTGTCGGTCGCCTATCATGAGGTGATGGTGGAGAAGAGACTCAATGATGTGACGGGATAGGTGATGGCTCTCGTTGTAGAGGTGTATAGTCGGGTCGATCAGGTGATGGCTCTGGGTGAGATGATGGCTCTCGAAGTGGAGGAAGTGGAGGCTGCTCATCATTCGTGCCATCAAAAAAACGCTGACTAGCTTGCCACCAATCAGTGGCAAGCTCAGCCTCCGTGGGTGTCAGTCTCATTAATGGAGTGTTGGCCTCCTAAAAATATAAAAACTAAAACAAAGTTAAACGTCTACTATTAATAACTTGTTTATATATGATAGTATTTGTGTTAACTTACATTATTTATTGTTGCATATGGTATTAAGTCTTCCCAATCCAACATACGTTTCCTCTTCCAGGAAATAGCCCTAGGAATATCATATGAGGATTTTAATGCATATGTCCACATGCTGGGGAAAGCCTCGAATATCCAAATCTACAAACAATATAATAACAAATATTAGTAATTGTTAAATAATCAATTATAATTTTGAAAACATTATATAGAAATTCTTACCTTAAAGGCCCAAACAAAGCCTGACAAAGTGTATTTCGACCCATCGCCCCGCAAACTTTTGCGGTCATCAAAGGCAGACGACAACTTAGTCCAGGTAGCTTTCCATATATACGAACCCCACGGAAATAGATTCCATGCATTTAGGTCCTCTACCAATAATATTAGCTCCTGAGGAATAGGTTGTCTGGCCTCTCTGCCTAAAAAGTCGGCATACAAAAGTAGTAGAAGGCATACTCGGACAACATCGACGTCATTCATCCGAGTAAAACCATCTTTCTTATTAAACAATTTCTTCATGTCGTCGACGTGTAAGTTCGGCTTCTCTATTGACTCATCAGGAAAAACCCTGGATAACTATGATGGGCGGGTGATATGACGAGTGTACCGGCCTACATCATCGTGTCCGAATCGTAGACCAGTGATTAAGCAGAACTCCTTCCGCCCAAAACAAGTATACGCCGGTGGAAAATGAAACCATATCTCTTCCTCACCACGTTGTATACTGTCGGGTAGATCGCTAGTCATGGTCTGAAGCCACAAATGGGTCAAATTAGCATCTCCACCCGGATGCTGTACTCTCAGCCATGGCCCGAAGCAGGTTTCTTCAAACAATTTTCTTTGTGCAGGTGAAAGCTTCGAAGTAATTGTAGTGGCTAGGCTAACTTTATTCCTTAATGTCAATGAAGCCGAAAAAAATTTCTACAAAAACAATAAACATACCAAGTTAGATATACCAAAAACTACACTGTCAAGATATACCAAAAACAATAAACATAAATAGTAGTTTATTCTTGAAACTAAAATTTGCAACACTGTTTTGTCTTTTGGTTGAAATGAAAATCGCAACGAGATAATGAGAATCGCAACGCGGAAATGACTATCGCAACGAGAGAATCGCAACGCGAAATGACTATCGCGACGAGAGAATCGCAACGCGAAATGAAAATTGCAATGCGATTTTGGTTTCGCGTTGCGATTCTCTCGTTGCGATAGTTATTTCCGCGTTGTGATTTTCATTCTCGAAACTATTCTTCTTCTGCATTACTTCAACCAAAAGACAAAACAAAGACAAATACTAACTTCACAGGCTAAACAGTTTAGCAGTATTGGCAGCAATCGAATGAATTTAATAAGAAATCTAAGTGAAATGATTAATCTATTATTGAAATTACCAGTAAACTTATCATCAATCTCAATATGAAAAACCTAAAATAATGCAAAAATTTCAAAAAAAAAAAAAAACTAACCCTCGGAGGTTGATTTTCCATTTCTGAATGATTGTGAGGGATTTTTGACTGTGAATGGTTGTGAGGGATTTCGCCGGCGATGGGGACGGAAATCTTCGGAGATGGGGACGGATTTCGCCGTAGAGAGTGAGAGATGGAGATGGGACTGAGTGTTGTGATTTTGGGTTTGAGGTTATGAGTTGCGATTACTATGGACGGTTCGGTTTCCGATTTATTAAGAAAAAATTCGTGTTTGGAATTTGAAAAAAAAATACGCGTTAATACGAATGGCGCTATGTAAATCGCGTTGCGAAAGTCAGAATCGCGTTGCGAAAGTCAGTATCTCGTTGCGATTTTGTATTATCGCATTGCGATAGTAAGTATCGCATTGCGATAGTCAGTATCGCATTGCGATAGTCAGTATCGCATTGCGATTTTCCCAATTCGCGTTGCGATTTACTTATTCGCATTGCGAATTGGGAAAATCGCAACGACATTGTAGACCATCGCAACGCGATTTCCAACTATCGCAACGCGAATTTGCGATAATGGAGATCGCGTTGCGAATTAGCGATCACATTGCGATTTTGTTGGTCATTTTGGCAAATCCGGAAAAAATTGGTTAAAATCGTATATTATAAGGTATTTTTTGTCACTGAGACGATTTTCTCTTATTAAAATATAGTTATCGTATATAAGATCTAAAAAAAATTAACGTGAAGTTCGTGCTTAGATTTGAATGCTTATTTAACTACAGATAAAAGGGTAATTTAAAATGTTTTTCCTTTCTTTTTTCCTTCTTACTCTAGATTTTGTAAGGATTTCAAAATCTGTTGAGCAACAATGATAATTTTGAGAATATTTTTTAAAAAAATTAAATTTATAGTAATGTTTTTTTAACGACACATTTTACTTTTTATACGATTTAAAGATCTATTATTTAAATCTACGAAATTTATGTACTTGAGAAGTCTTAGGTAGACCTGGCGACTTGACCTGATTTCGATTACTTGAACTGATTTATTCTATCAATATATGATATTAACACGAACATGATAATTAAATTTGATCTGATACTCGACCTATATCCGACCCGAACCATACCCGATCTAAAATTTAGTGAAACCTTATATGTGGTTAAAGGGTATACAATCAGAAACCATGAATGAGAATCCATCTATCCATATTTCCAATTTAATACAATCAGAAACCTTATCTGTGCTTAAAGGGTATATGTAATTCAGATTACAACTTCTTCATGGAACCAAGACACACCAGACCATTACAAGACCTGTAAAAACAATTGCAGCAAACAATGGCACAAACGAAAGTGAAATTGTTCTTCACATTCTTTTGTGTTTTTTATCAGCATCTGCAGAATGAAATATTCAACATCTCCATGCTCAAGCTCTACATCATGGCATTTTCCATGAATCCACATCTAGCCGGTGCAGCCCTGTTGAAACTGCAGAGCCTCCGCTTGAATGAGCAAGAAGAGAGTGGAAGGATTGGGATGTTCTCACAGTTGCAGAGCTCGACCATGTATCCGTCAGGGTTAAGGAAGAACACTTGATCAACCCTATTCCCTTCATCTTCAACCACCGCTGTCACATACTTCATTCCCGTGTCTTCGAGCCTCCTCACCACGAGCCCCACATCCCTACACTGTTACACCACAAACGGTTTCAACTTTCAACAAGAACATTTTCAAAACCAGTGATGTAAACTAAAGTTTCAGACCGAGTTTTCTGAATTATACCTGGAATGAGATGTGGTTATCCTTGGGAATGATTGGTCGAGGTTCAACGATAGCGTCGAAATCATTGATAGATGGATTCTCAATCAAGTGTATACCAATGCCATAGTTATGCAAATATCTCTGCATGTCATTGTTAGTAAGACGGAGTATAAAACTGTTGTGGTGCATTATCTTAGCAGCTAGTTGATCCATTAGGATACTGATCAGGGTCTTCTCCCATCAATGCTTTGACGCCTAATGAGAAGATAAAAAATAAAAAATAAAACCCCCAGCAACCCCCAAATCTATTTAAAAAATATGAAATGCATCAAAATATTTCCGTTGCCGGGACTTGAACCCGGGTCTCTCGGGTGAGAGCCGAGTATCCTAACCAACTAGACTACAACGGATCGTTGTTTAATAGTTTGAAAAGTTTCAAAATAATTTTTATGTTTGATTTCAGCTTTAAATGCTCCCCTGGATATCACTAAATAATCTTGGAAGTGAATGCCCAATTATTTTTGCATTTGTTTGGCCTTGAATTATACATACTCTAAAGTAACTTTTCTTAACCAATATGGTCGAAGACATCACTATTTCAATCTGAACCTCAATTTTAAATTTTGTAATGTTAAAAGTTACATTTCCATCTTCGTCCCAATATGTTGCAAAGGATGTTGTAAAGTTTTGGACACTTAATTTCAACCATGGTTCTAGAAATCTAAATGACCTTTTAAAAGTATATAAAATATATTGAAACCCTATTTTGTAGGAATCCAGTCCACACATTACTCACTCTCTAATTCTTCTATTTTGTGTGTGTGTATATATATATATATTCCACGTGCTCTGAGTGTGCCTCAGTATTGGTATCCACACTCCATTGGCAATTCCTATAGGTATTTGTCTCAGACTCTTCTCATGGCTTCCCCACGAACAAGTGTTGCGGTAGCCGATGAAACTGATCGGCGACCGACCTTGTGCGACGAGCTCAGTGGATTCGAGCAGCCATTCTAGGAGCTAACGATGGATTGCTTTCAACCGCATCGCTAATGCTTGGTGTAGGTGCAGCGAATGACGAAATACGGTCCATGGTCCTCTCTGGACTAGCCGGAGCACTTGCGGGTGCATGTAGCACGGCTGTCGTCGAGTTCGTTTCTGTTTCGACCCAAAGAGACATTGAAAAGGCTTCGAAAACCGACATAACCCTGTGCCTAGATGATGTCGGAAAGACCCAAAAAATGTCCCCTGTTATAATTCTAGACCCGAATTTGCCCCAAGGTCTGTCTCCTGGCAAGTCTCCTATAGTAACTAAAGCAGTGGTAACATTGATGCAAGATGATGACAAGGGAAATGCACTGCCTAACCCGTATAAGGCCGCTTCTGCATCGGCTTTGGCATTTCTAATTGAGAAGACAGTAGACATATAATTGAGAAAACGTTAGACACTTATTTTTAACGAATACTTTTTTATACACTAAAACATATTTCGAGGCAAAATTTGAGCTCTTATTTTTATATTAAACCTATAGTTTATTTTAAAATTGAGAACCCAAAGCACGAAAATGAGGGGGAACCACGACGCAAAAACACACTTGTTGCATCCCCATGTCACATATATAGTGTATTCTTTCATTTCAAAGCCACACAAATTAAACATTTAGCATGCCAAAGCAGACTCTCCCTTGTAATGTAACAAGGGCTTCTCCAGGATTCATTACAACATATATTCGAAACCGGATAATAACATCATAAACAGAGAAAGAAGGGGGTAAAAGGGTGACCGGAAATGTCGTGTTCATCATCGTCTGGTTCGGAAGAAGACAACGAGGGATTTGAATCCTACAGGAAAGGAGGGTACCATGCGGTCCAGATCGGAGATCATTTCGCTGCAGGTCGTTACATCGCTCAACGGAAGCTGGGATGGGGTCAGTTCTCCACCGTGTGGCTCGCTTACGATACTCAGTCCTCGGTGAGTCCGTCTTTCCCGACTATATATGTACGTATGCAAAACAATTTTGTCTAAATCCTTTTCCATCTCAATCAGAAATATGTTGCTCTGAAGATTCAGAAAAGTGCAGAACAATTTGCTCAAGCTGCCCTTCATGAGATTGAGGTGTTTTTATCTATCACTAATGGAGACCCTTCAAATTCTAAGTGTGTGGTGCGCCTGGTTGATCACTTTAAGCACAGTGGCCCCAATGGACAACATCTATGCATCGTCCTCGAATTCCTTGGCCATAGCTTACTTCGTTTAATCCGGTTCCGTCGTTAGAAAGGGCTTGAATTGAACAAAGTTAGGGAGATATGCAAATGTGTTTTGATAGCTCTGGATTACTTGCATAGGGAAGTTGGCATCATCCACACCGATCTAAAACCCGAAAACATCCTCCTCTTCTCCACCATTAATCCTGCAAAGGATCCGATCAGGTCCGGTCTTACGCCGATACTCAAAAGGCCGGAAGGGGGTAGTCTCAACGGCGGATCCACCATGACCATCGTCCAGAAAAAACTGAAAAGGAGGGCAAGAAGTGCCGTTGCTAATATTTCTATCGGAAGAGGTTCCATGGGAAGAGAAGCACAAGCTCCGAAACTGGAGAAAAGTATGGATGGGATTGATTTGAGGTGCAAGGTTGTGGACTTCGGCAATGCATGTTGGGCAGACAAACCATTTTGTGATGAAATTCAGACAAGACAATACAGAGCACCTGAGGTGATACTAGGTTCTGGCTATTCCTTTCCGGCTGATATGTGGTCTTTGGCTTGCACAGCCTTTGAGCTCGCCACTGGCGACATGATGTTCGCCCCTAAAGGCGGCAAAGGATATAGTGAAGATGAGGTATGAGTGTTCCCTCCATCGTGCATAACGGTTTTTCGACACGGTCGGGATATTGGCAATACTAATGTCCATGAGTCCATATGTTACAGGATCACCTTGCTCTCATGATGGAACTTCTCGGAAAGATGCCTAAATAGGTGAAATTATCCTCTCTTGTTTACATTAGCTATTATGATACACACATTTCATTGCATGTTTCTCCGCAAGCAGATCGCCACCGGAAGAGCTCGATCGAAGGAATATTTCGACCGGCACGGGGATCTGAAGCTCAGGCCACTGGATAGATTTTTGGTGGATAAATACAAATTCGCAGAGAATGATGCTCGTGAGTTTGCTGGTTTTCTTTGTCTTCTCCTGGATTTTGCACCAGAGAAGCGACCAAGTGCACAGCAGTGTCTGCAACATCCATGGCTCAATCTGAATACCTCTCATCAGAAAGAGATGAATGTTCAGTCCAACGCATAATACTAAATTGCGGTTGCGGTAGCCGATCGCGGTTACGGATATCACGAGCATTACAACGACATGATTGCGATATTACGATGACGTAAAAAACGTTATGATACGGCGTTACAAATTTAATACTATGGTCTAACGTTAATGTTTGAATGGGAAACCTTAAGATTAACTAAATGTAAATTAATATAAACTATATTGTAAGGAAATAACATGGGCCGAATGGTTCGGCGAAAGTGTAAACTACATAATGTGTTTCTTCACGTTTTATGTAGCATTTCTGGATAATAGATTTGTATTAAGTGAGAGAGAGTGGTTAAAAATCCCTCGTTTTCTTCTGTTTTACATCATTGTTTAATATTTAATTTGAAAAAATTCAAAGGAAAAAAAAATTTGGAATATTATACTTTTAAAATTTTCATTTCTGCCTATTTAGTATCTTCTTGTTTTTCTTAGCTTTGATCAATATTGTAATCGCATGGAAACAGGATTATCTCTTTGACCGTGGACGGTTCATCATTTTTAGCTTGGACAAAAAATCGTAATTAGTGAAAGATCCAAGCTAAAAATCGTAATTAGTGAAAGAAATATCGTTGATTGATGTTTGAATGAAAGGGAGAGTGGATTATGGTGTGGAATAAGAGACCGATTACAAAAAAATCATCCCTATTTCCAGTCTAAATTAGAGATATTTATAGTGGTCTTTAGTGTGTTTGTCAATTGTATGATCATGATATCTATCATAGACTAATCATACTATAAAGTTCTAATAGATCATAGACTAATCATACTATAAAGTTCTAATAGTCACGCCTTACATTTCATCATAGTAAGTCACGCGAAACTGTTGACGAAATGCTGACAAATCTATTATAGTGGAAACTGGAATGTTTGCAGAGAGCGTCTCCAAATATATAACAAAAATGAATCACGTTGGAGAATGCTCTAATGAATGAGGCCAAAAACAGTTGCCTCGGCGTTTTACATTTTGCTGTATGTGTATCATTAGTCCTCCCGAGTCTTCTTTTACAACTGAATCATATACGTAATTTATAACTTAAATGTTACAAAACCAAAAAAAAAAAAAGAGAAGAAGAAATCTTTGCTGTGGCCACGGCTGTGATTTCTTTTGAGCAGCCACCAACGGTGGGCAAAGCCGGAAACAAAAACGGACAAATCATCCGGCAGATGAACATTATGTTACTTTAAGAAAATGAAAATCTTGAGAAAAGTGAAAGGGTCGGCGATGCTTCATTTGCTGGGCTTGGCACATCGGTGTAGTTGCGGTAGGCTTGTTGACATTTCTGCATCTGTGGTGACATACAACATGAGATTCTTCATTAGTACGTTCATAATTTATGTGTACTGGCGTAAGCAAAATTCAACTCGAAAATATCTCAACGCTAAAAGAACTCGACTTGACTTGACTAGACTCATAATTTCATAAATTCAACTTGAAAAATTTTCAAATTCTAGTCGAGTTATAAAATAAAACTCGGAATTTTTAATAATTAGTGGATTGATTCTCAAGTTCGAGTCGAGATCCATCAACTATGAAGAAAATATCACATGAAAAAAATATGATGAAATATATGCAATTAAATTTAAAAATAAACTCGAAAAAGTCGATTTGGCTCAAAATAATTTCAGTTAAAGTTTGAATTATAAAATACGATTCATCAACTCAAATAACTCGAAATTTTTTAACCCGACTCAATCAAATACTAATCATACATGTATCGATATTTGCATAATATCATGAACCCACAAAATTAAGCATTGAGAGGTAAAATAGAAAATTACCTCTTCAGGACTAAATTGAAGAAGCATTGCAACAACTGGTAGTAGAGCTTCCACTTCACCTATTCAAAGAATTAGCAAGATTTCAAAAAATATTACGTCCATTAACATTGATTACCTGGAAATTTCAACAAAAGTTCTGCGACTGAAAGTACCTGTTTCAAGAAGCTTTAGGATTACATTTTTCAGGTACGTCATATCGACGCCTTCTCTCCTTTTCGATCTTTCCATGTTGCGAAGTTCCTCCTTCAGCATAGCTTCCTATGTTTGTGAAGCATGTAAAGGAGATCATGTAATCTTCTCGGTTGACAAAGTATAATCATTGCAAAGTGAAGAAAATAAAATGTTAGATGCAACAAAAGAATATCCATTTCATTTTACTACATTGTTGGACTCTTGCCTTCATCAAATAACATAGAATTTCCCACACCAAAAGACAACACTGAGGACTAATCAGAGGTAGAAATAGAACAAGGAATGCAACAGCATGGTATGTCTAGACTTCTTCATACCTGTTGACTGTGGAGGCGATTTTCACGTTCGAGCTCCTCAATCTCTTCCTGCATTGTGCATGCATCAACAAACCAAACCCGGGAAATTAATTAAAATGAAATGGAAATCACTAACCTGAAGGGCGAAAATGTGTCGCTGTGATTGTGCCAGCTCTTCCTCCCTCTGAGCCTGCTGCCTTGCTAATATCTAAATTTGAAGGGCAAGTTAACGTAAAAATCATTTCACTAATATATGGTTCTGAAAGGAAAAAACCATAGAAAAACATATTTATAAAAAAGGAAATTTTATAAAAAGGAAGTATGAAGCTACCAGAATCTGTTGTTCTGCTGCAGAGGTGTTTAGACTTGGAGCATCTTGTTTTTGTATGGCTGAAAAGACCAACAGGAAACATCAGAGCTCCATGAACAATTAGGTTAGAATACAAAATAAAATAAAATCGAAGTGTCTTATCTAGAAGTAGAATAAAGATTTGCAAGTAGTAACACAAAAACACTCATCATACCTGTGTTGTAATTCTCAGTGTGATCAGCCTGAAAATTTTATTTCATTGTAAGCCCAAAATTTAACGAAATCAAAACACCTCACAAGGGTGCTAAGGTTTCATGTATGGTCTACAGCTATAAAAGAAAAAAAGGGAAACATACCAGTTGTCTCGACTCCAGAGATCGTTGAAGATTCTTGTTGTCATCCAAAAGTCCAGAAATTTCATTATCCTTCTCCTCAATCATTCTATCAGCAAGATTTCGTAATGATACATGCTCCTCCTGCATGTAAAGAATCCAATCAATAAAAAAAGAAATAAAAGTTCTCTATCATCATCCA